GTTCATTTGAAATGATTGCTGGGAGTGGCTCTCATCATGGTAAATGGTTTTCGGTTTTCTGGGTAAATATTTTATTGAAGTAAATGGGCAATACTGGTGGTCAGCAAAGCAAATGAATCGGTTTTCTCGGATATTTTGTTTAGTTGAAGTGAAAATTTAAGACAGGCAATCAGCATGGCCAATACTTTCTATTCCTTTTGAAAATTGTTTGTTTTAAAAAAGCTGCCGGGACTGGTTCTCAGCATGATAAATTGTTTTCCATTTTATTGGAAAATATTTATTTAAAAATAAAGGCCCAGATTAGCAATCAGCCAGGCAAATTGTTTTTGGGTTTTTGGGAAGTTGTTTATTTGAAATGTTTGGCTGGGACTGGCAATCAGCATGGCAAACAGTTTTGGGTTTTCGCGGAAATTTTTTGTTGCAAATAAGTGCCTAAGGTTGGCACACTGCATGGTAAATGCTTTTTGGTTCTCTCGAAATTTTGTGAATTCAAATTAGTGGCCGGGACTGGCATTTAGCATAAGCAACAGCATTCGTTCTTCTGTGATATTTATTGTTTGATGTAATTTCCAAAACTGACACTCAGTATGGCAAACAAATCTAGTTCTTCTCGGAAATTTTTCTACTTGAAACAAATGACTGGGACTGGCAGTCAACATGGCAAATGGTTTCCCAATTTATCGAAAAAAAACTTTTTTTGAAAAAATTAAGACCAAAACTAGCAATCAGTAAGGCAGAATTATTCGGTTTTTTGGGAAGTTGTTTTTTTGAAATGCTTTCTCCGTGGTAGCACTCAGCATGGCAAACAGTTTTATGTCCTTTCCGAGTTTTTTTAGTTTCAAATAAATACTCGGAGCTGGCACTCGACATGGCAAATGGTTTTTATTTTTCTCGAAAAATCTATGTTTCAAATTAATGGCGGGACGGGCACTTAGCATGGTAAACAGTTTTGTGTCTTCTCGGAATTTTTTTAAATTAAAAAAATCCCGGGCCTAGCATGGCAAACAGTTTTTGATCCTCTCGAAATTTGTGTTTTAATTAAGTACACGGGGCTGGCAATCGGCGGGCAAATGGTTTTTGGTCTTCTCGAAAAATATTGACTTAAATGAATACCGGGGAATTGCACACAGCATGGCGATTTTATTTGGTCTTTTCGGAAAATACGTTTTCTTGAAGTAATTGGCTTGGGTTGGCACTCAGCATGGCAAAAGATTCTCCGTTTTCTCGAAAACATTCATTTGAAAAAAAAATGCGAGACTTGCAATCAAAAAGACAGTTTTTTTTTTGGTTTTTTGAGAAGTTTTTTTTTTGAGTTGTTTGGCCGGGACTAGCGCTCAGCATGGCAAATAATTTTCCATTTTCTCGAAAATTGTTCACTTGAAAAAAAGGCGCCACTTGAAATCAGTAAGACAATTTTTTTTCAGTTTTTTTGGGAAGTGTCTTGTTGCTTACTTGAAATGTTTGACCGCGACTGTCACTCAGCATGACAAGCAGCTTTCGGTCATTTTCGTTTTTTTACTTTAAAGATTAACGCTGGGCTTGGCACTCAGCAGGATAAATGGTTTTTGGTCTTCTCAAAGTTTCGATATTTCAAGTTATTAGCCGAGACTGGCACGTAGCATGGTAAGCAGTTTTCCGCCGTCTCCTCGGTTATTTTTTTTTTGAAGTAGTTTCCCGGATCTGGCACTCATCATGGCAAACAATTTTCTATCTTCTCGGAAGTTTTATTTTAAATAAGAGTCCGGGGCAATGGCAAATGGTTTTGAGTCTTCTCGAAATTTCGATATTTCAAATTAATGGCCATGACTGGCACTTAGCATGGCAAACAGTTTTCGGTCTTCTCTGAAATTGTTTAATTGAAACATATTCCCGTGACGACTGGCACTCAGCATGGTAAACAGTTTTCAGTCTTCTCGGAGTTTTTTTCAAACAAGTGACAGGAATTGGCACTCAGCATGGCATATGGTTTTCGCTCTTCTCGGAAATTTTTGATTTGAAATAAATGGCCGAGAATCGCAGTCAGCATGGCGAGTGGTTTTTGGTTTTCTCAGAAAATTTTTTGTTTCGAAGTAAGTGGCCGTGACCGGCACTCAGCAAAGCGAAAGGTGTTCGGTCTTCTCTGAACTTTTTGAATGAAAAAAAAACCGGGACTGCAAGTCCCTCAGCATGTCAAATGTTTTTCGATTTTCGCGGAAACTTTTTAATTCAAATAAAAGGTCGGGACTTGCAGTCCGCATGACAAATAGCTTTCGGCCTAGTCGGAAGTTATTTATTTGAAATATGTGGTCGGGGCTTGCACTCAGCATGGTAAGATATTCACTCGAAATAAAAGACCTATGCTGGGACTTAGCATGGTAAATGGTTTTCGCTTTTCTCGGAAGTTATTCAGTTTAAATAAAAGGCCCAGACAGACACTCAGCAGGGCAAATGGTATAGATCTTCTCTGAAATTATTATTTTTAAATTACATGGCTGGGACTGGCACTCAGCCTGCTAACAAATGGTGTTGGCGAACAACGGAGACTTGTTTGTCGGTGGAAATTGTTTACCATAGTTGCTGCCCATCCAGACCAGGATAGCAATTTTTCCTGTAGCAGCTAGACGAACGAGTCCCTGAGATTTTATTATGGTTGATTACTTTAAAAATCGAATAGTGCTATTTTCTCAGTTGGCGGATTTTTCGAACTTTTTTTGGCGTAAAACAGTTGTTTGTCAATTCCATTTATAACTGATTTTTGAATAATGAAAACAATCAATTGAAAGACCTTAAAAATTATGGTTCAACGACATGGACCATGGAAATTTATTGTATGATTTAATTTTTTTTGCCGAATTTTTTTTTGACCAAAATAGGTTGTCTATCCATGCAGACTATCTTGTTTTCCTATTTTCTTAACTTAGTAAATTTGAGTAGAGCCAAATGACAGAAAATCAATTTTAAAATCAAACCCTAAGCTTGATTTTTGGCGTGTTATTTCTGGTAAACGAAAACAAAATAGCAAAATAAGTTTTTGGTTGTGTAATTTTGTTCTCTCCCTTATTATTCCTGGAAAGCTTTTGGTATCGAATTAAAAAAAAACAGAGTCTGTAATTTGGATACAGTTAGTGTTATGAACCCAGCGTTTTACTAAGTTCGCAGATTCAATAAGCTTCAATTTGCGGTTTGGGTCGAATGCTTAAAAGTTGTCAGTTTTGCGCGTCTTAATGCAATTACTGGTCATAGAATCACAACCTCGGCCCGGGAAAAGACTTTGCGGGATTTCATCGGATTTTACGATTTGTCTGTGCCCTTTCAAATTTCTTGATTGATCTCTTAGCTAGACTTTTTGAATGGTGGTATTATTAATATATCACTTTTAGAATCTCTTTTACAGTATAGAAGTTTCTATCTTTTCCTTTATCCTGTGAAATGTCATTGTTGTCTATTTTTTCAAGAATTCAGTCATGATTGGCTGAAATTTCAGTTACTCCGCGTTAAAGACGTTGCGACTATTTATCTGCATTAAAATCAATGTTACCAGTGAGTTTTGAATAATTTGGAAATATACTGGAAAAAAATGTATTTTTTTGTTGTCTATTAACAGTAAAACCTTCCCCTTGAATCGGTTTAACGAAGCGTTTTATTCAGGTTTATTGATTATGTCACGACAAAATGCTGTAAATGAAAATATTTTAACGCGAAAATATGAAAACTAAATTAAACTTTCGCAATTTGATTTTCGATTTGTTTGATTTGAAGAAAGTCGATTTTTCCTTAGTGAGACTTAAAATGAGAAACTGAACTCCAAATTTGAATTCAAAGTTTCTTTTTATTCAATTTTTTACCTGGTTATCTGGCATGGTTATTCGAAACTATCAAAATTTTGATGTAGGTAATTTGGCAAGCTGATTCTTAAAAAGAGGTGTTATGATTATTGTGGTTTTGGATTCGGTAACTTTGGATATTCACCTGTACTTCAGAATTTTATAGTCTTTCAAATAGTTTGGACTTATGCCTGAACAACTTTTCACATGTGATCAAAAATTCGCACCACTTTTATGGAAAAAATATTAACTTGACACGTTATGAATCAATGTAAACCTAATTTTCAGGTTTCAAACCAACAGATTAGACATAAACTGCAAATTATCGGCCACTAAATCAACAAAATTTTCGAGTCTCTGGAAGGAATGGGGTTTGTTATGGTTATCTGGCTTGAAAAACCTAATCAAACGAAACTTTGGCTTCCAGCGACGAGCTCAAATTTTGACTTGTGGGCAATTTAACTCTACGTAAAACATGATTATGACATTTGCCTCTTGTTGTATATGATTAAGAGGTTCTTTTACAGCTTGAATTAGTCCGAAAGGAATGAACTGTTTCTAATTTGACCCGAGGATTAGAATTTGCAGCCGAATTCTCAGAACAATTTGCAGGTTGCAACTTTCGAATAGTTCGAACTGTTAACAACTTCGGAATCTACATATACTGCAACACTATTTTTCATTTAACAACTTAATCCAATTAATCCAATTCTTTTGTTTCTAATTTGACCCGAGGATTAGAATTTGCAGCCGAATTCTCAGAACAATTTGCAGGTTGCAACTTTCGAGTAGTTCGAACTGCTAACAACTTCGGAATCTACATATACTGCAACACTATTTTTCATTTAACAACTTAATCCAATTAATCCAATTCCTTTAAGCGTTTTGTTGTTTAATTTCCTTGTTTGATTACCGTTAAAATGATGGTACTAAACGTAAGCAACCAAGATGAGATGGTTCCAAACTGCAATCATCAGACAAGGATATCTCCGAACAGCAACGGAAACGTTATTTTCCACCCGGCAACTTGAATTAGTTCGAACTTGAATTACAACTTGAATTAGTTCGAAAGGAATGAATTGTTTTTAATTTGACCCGAGGATTAGAATTTGCAGCCGAATTCTCAGAACAATTTGCAGGTTGCAACTTTCGAATAGTTCGAACTGTTAACAACTTCGGAATCTACATATACTGCAACACTATTTTTCATTTAACAACTTAATCCAATTAATCCAATTCCTTTAAGCGTTTTGTTGTTTAATTTCCTTGTTTGATTACCGTTAAAATGATGGTACTAAACGTAAGCAACCAAGATGAGATGGTTCCAAACTGCAATCATCAGACAAGGATATCTCCGAACAGCAACGGAAACGTTATTTTCCACCCGGCAACTTGAATTAGTTCGAACTTGAATTACAACTTGAATTAGTTCGAAAGGAATGAATTGTTTCTAATTTGACCCGAGGATTAGAATTTGCAGCCGAATTCTCAGAACAATTTGCAGGTTGCAACTTTCGAATAGTTCGAACTGTTAACAACTTCGGAATCTACATATACTGCAACACTATTTTTTAATTAACAACTTAATCCAATTAATCCAATTCCTTTAAGCGTTTTGTTGTTTAATTTCCTTGTTTGATTACCGTTAAAATGATGGTACTAAACGTAAGCAACCAAGATGAGATGGTTCCAAACTGCAATCATCAGACAAGGATATCTCCGAACAGCAACGGAAACGTTATTTTCCACCCGGCTGAAATTTCAAATGATCATAAGTTAGCCCGATCACGAAGTGTCACAACTAGTTCAAAAAACGGGAAAAAGGATAATAGTTATTCAGTTTGTCATTCCGATGCGGTCAATGACATACAACACGGTAATGCCGTTAGCCCCGTTACTCAAGTTAATCAGCCCAATTTGGTTAATAATTGCTGTAAACTTAACCAATTTAATAAAGTTGCCCTCTTCAGACAGCAATCCAGACAAAAACCAGAGAAAAACCAAGATTTTTTCAGGAAGTTATCAAAAATGAGAAGACAGCCATCAAAGCGAAATAAGCAGTTATTGAATGCCAAAAGCAACAGTTACCAATTTTGTAATGATCATACTTCAATTACCATTCCACAGACAGGCGAAAGTGATGTTAATAACGTGACCTCACTTTTACCGATAGATGGCGACAACAAGAACACATGTCACAGAAGCCGAACGTTTTCGAATAATTATCAACAGCAAGTGCAGCCACAATTTGAAAACCATACACACCTATACGACTGCTGTCGCTACTATTGTCCAAAAGTAAGTTGAAAAATTGCAATGAAACTTGAACATAAACAAATAATAGAAGTATAGCCGGTTACTGTGCGAAAGAAAACTAATTTTTTTTTCAAATTAGTGTAGTTTTATAAACCCCCTCTGTGTATTTAAAATTTTTGTAAACTAAATACCTTAAAAAAGTTTGCCTCTTCAAACAGCAACCCATACAAAAACTAGAAAAAAAACCAAAATTCAATAGGCAGCCATCAAGGCGAAATAGGCAGTTTTTGAATGCCAAAGCTAACCTGTACCTAGCAAATGATCTAATTCAGATCTGAAACAAACTTTTTCAGATCTTAACTTAGGAATAGCTTGGATACTTTAGGAATGGGTTATTTCAGATCTTATTTCAGATCTAAAATTTTGTTTTTCCTGGTTTTTTCAGATCTAAAAAAATCTATTTTAGATCTAATTTCAGATGTGAAATTTTGTGTTTTTGGTTATTTCAGATCTCAAAAATCAATGATTCTGACACTATTTTTGAACTTTTCGGTAATTCGGTATTTTTGATATTTCATATATTTTGCTCAAAAATCCATTAGAATCGATTATAATCGATTATAATCCTTTTTGTTAGCCCATTTTGTCTTCGAACATGCATCTGAATTGCCTATATTTTATGCTTTTTATAGACGTTGGTTCCTGTGAAAAATGAAAAAATTGTTTTTAAATCAATTCAAATTTTTAATCTTTTGTTTCGTGGTAAAGCTTTGTGTTCAGTTGAACAAAACTTTTGAAGAAAACTTTTGTTTCGTGGTAAAGCTTTGTGTTCAGTTGAACAAAAAAGTAACAAAGGTCTCGCTTTCAGAGATTCTTTTTTGACAGAAAACTAATTACCCATGAGAGATATTTGAAATATTGTTTTGGTTGGACAAAATTTTGGCAAAATAAGAGGTTATAGTCTCTTATAATCGATTATAATTGATTTTAAGGTTTTTTATAAACTATAATCAATTAAATCCATTATAAGAGATTATAATCTCCTGGAAATATCACGATTATAATCGATTATAAATCATTTTAACACCTAATTTTGGTAATTATAATCATTTATAATTGTCAAAAAATTATCATAATAATCAGTTATAATCGACTACTTACGCCTAAGCTTGGATGCAGGTAACCTTGATCATGTTTTAAATAGCTTTCGGTGTTCTTGAAAATTACTTTGAGAGAAGATTGGACGCAAAAAAGCGCAATTTTTTTTTGACCAAAACCTTTAAAATGTGCAATTACTTCAGCAAAAAGCAATTTTGTCTCATTTTAGCTCTTTTTTTAAAACTTTTTCTCAATTTAAATGCTGTAAGAAAATGAGCATTGGGCTTCTTACGCCTCCCTCTTCCTTTTCGTTTTCCCCTCTACTTCGCATTATCATCTATTTCATGGTCTACATTGCCTAATTGCCTAGAGTAAGAAACTGATCTTGATTAAATAAAAAGACTGCCCGTATATCAGGGCAAAGCGCTGAAATTTTTTCTAGCAGTTTTCGGTCAATCTGAATTTATTTTTGTAAAAAAATGACAAATAATTGAAAAAAAGATGAATTTGCTTTTCGTTTTGTATATTTTAAAAAGTTTTGAGATCCTGAGCTCAAAATTTACAAAAAACTCCTATGATGAATTGCATAAAGTTATATGGGTCTAAAGATTTCTAAAATGGCCTATTTGTGATATTTTACCTTTGATATGTTTCGTGCTATCAACATGTAATTGGAGATTCAATCCGTCTTAGAATGCTTCGAACTGAATTGAGGCATACTATTATGTCGATTTGGCACTTTGCTCTATGAAATTTATATCACTCTATACATTACATAGCGTGTGGTTCGAAAAAACTTAATCTATCTTCAGTTTTCGCATACGCTAATGTAGACTACAAGTGTATTTAGCGTCCCTTATCCTTATCGTAAAACAAAATGGCATTCATCAGTTCAATTTACTACATCTTATTCCGCTGTTTACGCAGGCGATATGAAAGCAAAATGTCCCAGGTTTAAATTGAATACCTTATCTCTCAAAAGCACTATTACAACTTTTGCAATATTTTTCAGATTGTACAAGAACCTCATGTCAAAAATGTTTTGTTAAAAAGTCAAAGTTTGACTGAATACAAAAAGACCCCAAGCATAACTATTCCGCGTTTTCTTCAAAAATCATTATTAGATTTAGGTGCCAGTGAAATTTTATTTGAGAGAGGAGAGGATTTCTGATAGCGCAATTGTTTTTTTTAAACAAAATATACAAAATGGGCAATTTTTCCACTCTCACTTTTGGCATCAATTTGTCTTTTTGGTCATAAAAAAGCCAATTTGCTCTACGTAAAAATTGTGCAAAATTAGGCACTTTTGCTTTTCGCCACATCCCCCCATTTCACATGAGCATCAATTCAAAAGGGTAACTATCAAGACCAAATATGTTTGTCGTGGCCTAATTAGTCTGCATAACATTTTTCAGCGAAATCCGGCAATGTGATTAAACATTTTACTTTCAAAAGATCGCAAGCCCTTCCCCAAAAGAAAAAAACACCAAAAGTCTAAAATAACTCAAAGGTGAATGTGAGAGATTACAAAGATCCCAATTTTCATAAAGGATGAAAAAACTGTTTTGATCAGAAAAGCTACAAAATGCTGACCAATTTTGTTTATACAAATTTTTTTATCTAAGATAGAAAAAACTGGTGAAAAATATACTACAAGATGTTCGGAAAAGAAATTGAATGAAGGGGAACTTAAACGTTAACATACCCACATACTGTTTTCATCTCTCTCGAAGTGTGAAAAAAATTATACCATAAGATTCATTATCATAAAAATCGAAGCTGAGCAAAAGTTTCGTGACATAATCATGCCTATTCAGCAAGCGCTTGTTTGCTGTTAAAATTCATCATGTTGAGTAGCGTTTGGCCTAGACTCGATGCTTATATTGCCCGTGTCTTATGAAAAAAAATCAATTTTTGCTATCTTTATATACTATTGCTTTTTTTATTTCAGTGAGCAAAGAGAAAAACTAACAAAAATGGGCAGCCAATTGCTATAAAAATAGCCCCAGTGACGTTTATTTGTTGCGTGGCCTTTCTAAAGGAGGTACAAAAAGCAAATATATTACAAAAATAATGCGTTTTTGTCAAAAACTTTCACTTTACTTCAAAAATATTTTTTCTTGGCACTAAAAACTCTTTACAAAAATTTAAAAATTGAATCACATACGAGAGAGCTTTAATATCATATATCATTCGACCCACTCAAAGAAACGTTTGTTGTACCTGATTTTTCTTGAAAAAAACCTGGGTTTTTAATTGAAGTTATATGGGGGTCCGAAGTGAAAAACAAAAAGTCGACAGGGGCAAGCGCATGCTCGGCTTCAAGCCACTGCGTCCATTTTTTAAATGCTTAAACAAGTACTCGTCGCCTATAAATATTAAATTGTTGGTTGCATTATGGTCTTTTTTTGTAAATGTGACACACACTGCTCCTGAAATCTATACGGTACGATTTCGCATGTTTTTTTTTGCAGTAATCAAGTTATTCGGGTGCTACCCCGTCTTTTGTTCTTCTGATCCTTTCGAGCTATTGTTTTCGAAAAAAATGAGGTTAGAGTTTGAATTTGTTTCTTCAAAATTTCACACCATCTTGTATCTGAGGTTCAATAATGAAGTGATCGTCTACATGATTCTCTTATAGAGAAAAACATTCTAAGAAATTTTGTCCCTGATCGCATCAGCTTGAAATGAAAAAAAAAAACGAAATAATCAATTTTGGAGTTTATGACAGTCGTTTTTATTTAATTCAAATGTTAGCGCAAATGATAAAAAGAAAACTATAATCTTTATCCTTGCGGCTGAAAAAATAGTCAGACTTTGTTATAATTAAACTAGTGTTTATACTTCAGCGTTTTTCTAAGAGAATCCGCAACGTCCCGGAGCCCGAGTTAAATAATGTAAGTTTTTTTCATATAGGAGTCCCCATCCCGTGATAAAACCAGAAGTTGACACGTATGGATTGCCTGTAGAAAAAGAAGCATCAAATAATTAAAAACTTTTACCCGTGACCCGATTTACTTCAGTGATTTGCTTTGATGGTTTTAATCTCGGAAGAAATTGTTAAAACAAAAATTACGTTTTTCTGCTTAATTGATTTCATCATTTGGAAAACCAACGAAAATGATACACTCACTTCCGGGGCTTGATCATTAACATTTCCTTTTATATTTTATTTTTGATGCCGCGAAGTGATTCAACATCGAAACGAGTGGTGCAAACTGCAAAAATTATATTAGATTTCAATAATATGATTCGTAAATGCCTGGTTTCACTATGACTTCATGAACATAATGGCCCAAATTTTTTGTTCGTTTAGGTATAGTTCTACCAGTTGCATTATTCATTTTTTGCATTTTGATGATTTGCCTAGGTGATCTTTCCGATTTCATTAGAAACAAGCAATTAAGTTAAACAAGACTGCTCGTATATCAGGGCAATACCCTGAATGTTCCTACTGCACCTTAATCCATATCAAATAGTTTTTTGGGAAAAGAAAAAGTGAGAAACTTCTTTTTTTGGTTAATATCAGAAACCAGGTAGAAAAAAATTAGGTCGTACAAAGTTAAGACGACCGATTAGCTAGCCTCAATATAATTTGGAACGATTTTATAATGCGGGATAATTCGCCACGCATAAATAAATCGCCTTTAATTTTCAGGAATATGGATAAAGTCTCAAATGCGTGCATCAATTAGTCTAGAGCATGGCCAAATTGGCAATTTTCAAACACTTACAGTTTGCAAAAAAAACAATCCGAGGTAAAATATTTTTCGATATCTTGAATGGGGAATAAATGTTTTTTTGTTTTTTGTTATAAACTATCATTTCGATCGCCGAAAATTACTGAATAAAAATTAATCCAAGCATAAATATTCAATTTTTTTTGAGGTTGGAACAATATGGATAGCGGTTGTTGTGCAAGTAGGACAAAAATTTTTGAAAATATAGATTGAAAAAATTGAATCCAAAAAAGTTTTAAAAAATTATTTTTTTTCCTTCTTTTCTTTTATTTCCTTTTGTTTTTTAACAGTAAAAAGAGGTCGAATAAATGCAGTAAGTTGAAAACTTGAGATAACAAATAGCTTGATTAGTGTGTAAAAAAACTCTACTATTAATATGAGAGATACGTCTTTTATTATGCCATTGATATTTTTCAAACCATCTAGTCCAAAATTGAAAAAGTAAAAACTCAGAAACTGTGGCCAGAAACTTTTTTCGAAATTGTGGCTTTTTTGTAAGCTAAATCAACCTAAATCATCCCCATTTGTACTACCGTAACCAAGATTTGTTAGAAAAACCGCATCCTAAAGTGATTGATCGGAAGTTCACTATTCTGTTTGTCTGGATATTCGTTTTTCCTTCCTTTATATAGTTTTGCTCCAATAGATATCACCTATGATGTGTTGATGCAAATTTAACTAAAATTCAAGAAAATCAGAGTAGGTTTTATGTTAACCTTTTACAACCACAAAACTTTTGCATTATCATCTATTTCATGGTCTACATTGCCTAATTAGTCAAGAGTAAGAAACTGATCTTAATTAAATAAAAAGACTGCCCGTATATCAGGGCAAAGCGCTGAAATTTTTGCTAGCAGTTTTCGGTCAATTTGAAATTACTTTTGTAAAAAAAATGACAAATAATTGAAAAAAAGATGAATTTGCTCTTCCGGTTTCTGTAGAAAGAGACAAAACAGTGTGCTTCGAGTGTGTTTTTCTCTAGGATTGTTTTCATTTTTTAGCAGTTTTTTACGTAATCGGTTTGTATATTTCAAAAAGTTTTGAGATTCTGAGCTCACAATTTAAAAAAACTCCTATGATGAATTGCATAAAGATATATTGGTCTAAAAGTTCTAAATTGGCCTATTTGGGATATTTTACCTTTGATATGTTTCGTGCTATCAACATGTAATTGGAGATTCAATCCGTCTTAGAAAAACCGCCTCCTGAAGTGGGTGTTCGGAAATTCGCTATGCTGTTTGTCTGGATATTCGTTTTTCCTTCCTTTATATAGTTTCGCTCCAATAGATAAAATTGATGCAAATTTAACTAAAACTTGAGAAAATCAGAGTAGATTTTGAGTTAACCTTTTACAACCAAAAAACTGGAACATCAAGCCATAGTACTACTTTTGCTAAAGTCGGTGTTGGTTAGCAGTTGAGATGCCAAAACTAAAAGAACTTATGTTGGATGCAGAGGCGTAGGATTGACACCTGCCATCGGGTGACTAATTCGATCATTTTAAAGCTTTTTAAATTTTTCTCTTTGCTGCGAAATGATTTTTATTATCATTATTATGTAAGGCAAAGCAATTATTCTTTTTTTACTGAACCGGATTGTCATTCAAGTAGTCGCAATTTTTCGAATTTAATTTATTCTTCAATCTTACAAAAAATAACTCTCAGAGTAAAAATTAGTTCGAAATTGTTTAGCCCGTTTCCGCTGAAAACCAGTCCAGGTTTCATCCGGTTTTTTAAATAGGCATAATTCTGAATGCGTGAATAAGACTTTCACAACTCATAATTACACAACAATCTTAAAAGCTCTATCTAACGTTCAAACAACGCCAATTTTTTCAATCAAACTTTCAGATTTTCTTGTTACGTGTTCAATTGATTACCTCGGTTCTACCTTTGGGTTTGAAGAAAATAAGAGAAGCGCCGAAAATACTTAATCTACTATTTGTTTCTTTGATGGAAAACAAAATCGTATGTAACCTTTCAAAAATAAGAACATTGTTGATTCTAATTTTCGGCATTTTTGTGACAATTATTATTTCTTTAAAACGCTAGTCGTAAGCATTGCGACGCCAAGCTGTGCATTTTGTGAATTGTTAGCAGATTTCGCAACAAGGACGCTCTTTTTGTTTTTCTTTTCTTTTGCTTTGATCGTTCCGACAAAATTTTACCATGTTTAAAGTCTTGTCTCTGGTATCCGAAAATATACAGACACAAAATTATTCGCCTATCCAGTGCACATTCTGGCCCCATAATGGAAGATTATATTCGAGGGTTGAAAAAATAATAATTTTTTGGTAATGAGTTGATTGAGGAATATTCAACGGCATTTTTTCATTCATGTTACTAATCTACAACATCCATTTTTGGCCGACCGATTATGAGTTTTTCTATGCGCGCGCTAAGTACATGTTTTTTGGTCAAAACCAGGAGCAGATCTAGGATTTCATTCTGAAGGTCGATTGGGAGAATAAAAAAATATATGTTGACAAAAATATTCCCGGGTCGAGGTCCGCGACTCATGTTGCGACCGAAATGGGTTGCCGAAATGGACTTCCTGCAACCGAAATTCGATCATCCCACAAGAGGCTTGAGTCGCACAAAGTCGCAAGATAACCATTTTCAGTCGCAATGGTCGCAACATACCTTTTTGGGTCCCACAAAGTCGCACAAATTTTTCGGTCGCACAAAGTTGCAACATACCCATTTTTAGTCACAATGGTTGCAACATACCTTTGTTGAGTCGCACAAAGTCGCAACATATATGCTTTGCGTCGTGCAAAGTCGCGCAAATATTTCGGTCGCACAAAGTCGCAACATACCCATTTTGAGTCCCAATGGTCGCAACATACCTTATTTGGATCGCGCAAAGTCGCAACATACCCATTTTGAGTCGCAATGTTCGCAACATGCACGATTTGGGTCGTAATATACCCATTTTGAGTCGCAATGGTTGCTACATAAGTCCCCGACCTCGACCCGGGTTGATTTAATTGCAATCTTAAAGTAACAAAGTTAGACAAATTGAGTCTTCAATTTTTGCGGCAAATCTTTCAATGACATCCTTTCTTTTGATTCCCACATTTTTTTTGAGGATGTTAATAAGAGTCAAACTTGAGAGTCAACACTCCATCATGTTTACTCCAGTTAACTTTTAATTAGTTTCAAGCTCGACAAAGCATAGTTTTAAGCTCGACAAAACTACTGGCACTGTGGCTTTGTGATACAGTCTCGGTCTGTCACAAGTAGTCATAAGCCTAATTTCTTAGGGCCTCAATCCAAAAATCACCCAGATTGTAGCATCCGTACGGACTTTTTGTTGCGAGCACTGTCTTCAACATCGCACGATTGTCCCGTAATTCACTGCTGAATGGGCAGGATTGACTCTTAGCAGATACCTGGCCTCGATCCTTAAAATGAGCCCAATTTGAAGCCTCCAAATAAGACGAATTTTCGCACCTTGAAACTTTCACACCTCAAATATTCTTTAATGTCCAGTGCAAAAACAACAGCTGAAGACGCCCTTTGAAAATTTTAGAGGACCAGAAGGAGGACCCTATGGTATTTGGTAGGGTCAACTTCCTGATGGGAATCTTCTCAAAGGACTAAAAACGTTATTTTCGGCCCCTTCTAGATCCGCCCCTGAATGATTTTTTTTACAGAATAGAGTCCTTAAATGATCAGTTCAACTCATGCGTCGCTTCCCTTTTGTGTCAACAATTGTGTCATAATTCCAACCTGCGTCACTATAGTCTCAAAATTACGTCAATGTTTTGGAAGTCAGATTTTGTAACATTTTCAGTAATAGACAGCTTTGATTGGGAACATCTATAAAATATAGCGCTCTAATTTGGAGGTCAAATAAATTAAATTTATGACTTTTTTCACCGATTTCTTTGGTCTGCTCAATGAGACGATCAAAGTAGTAAAATTATGTATTTTCAAGCAGTTAGCGAATTAACCATAAGTTGTTAATACTTCGCCCAGAGTCGTCTGTATAATGGTAAGTCTTTATTTAGTCTGAAGTTTCGGTGGAATTTGTAGAACCAAGTTTCGAATATTCAAAAATTTATCTATGTTTCAGCTGAGATTTTTTATTGGTCATAAAGGTGTTTAATACGCTCAGATTCACCATAAAGTTTTGGTTTTCGAACAGAGTTCTTAGCTTCGCTTAATGACGATGAAATATGTGTTATTTCAGGAATTCGAAGCGTCCGTCAGACCGCGCAAACAGAGCAATCGGTTGAGCGAATCACGAAGTCCGACCAGATTTAAGCAATTGTTCCAGTATGAGATCAAAAAAGACAAACCCCTCAAACAAATCGAACGAATCGACGCCACGCGACCTCTTTTGTTGGCCTTCTGCAAAGCACTTCGACCTGTCGCATTTTCCCTTACAGTCTGTGGTATGTTGACGACGTCGAAGTTTGACCACGACATCCGGCAGGCCTTGACAGTGGATTTTTTCCCGCTGAAACAGATCCAGAAAATGTGCAATAGGTTGCCCTACTGTCTGGTTCTTCTGCTACTGTTGTGGTTTAACTTTGGGCGGTTAGTCAAAAAAGAACGCTTTTTGACATCTTGCGCGAGTTTACATATGCTGTTTTTATTTTTGCCCTAGATTTACCCTTCAATTTTTATTACAATTGCCCTAGATATTAGACGCATTCTCTGTCAATAGTACCTCTCTTTTGTTGCTTTAGCAGTTTATCGTCACTAAATTTCAAAACTATTTCTATAACATAACACCGTTTTAAATAAAAAAAAAATACTTCAGAGGAGTTTTTCTGTAAGCAGCAAAGAAAAAAGCAAGAAAATTTTGTTGTACTTTTATAGCGTAAGGGTTGAATACTTATGACCCTGGCAAAAATTCCGATTGCTAAAATGATTCGAACCAAAAACGAGCAATCTTTCAACGAACTTCATAAGCCCGAAATAGATTAAACGTTGTTTGACTAAAAATGGCGTGATTTTCCAGGCACTTTTAGCCAATACAGAAAATAAAATATGGTTCCACTAAAACCAAGATCTAAGAGTCATTCAATTTTAGAATTATTTTCGAGCTTAATTTTTATAACGCGATCGCTTTGTTCAACTTTTTTTAGTTTGTTGTCACATATACGCAAAGCCTGATGGTTTGCCAGCCCCTAGTCTCAACCTAGCACCCCGAAAAAAGCGACAGTAGTCCTGGGATTGAATTGCTAGTGCAGGAGTCAAGTTTTTACAGTTAGTACGTTTTCCGGGATTCTGCAAGGAAACGTCTTTTCATAAAAAAACTGAACAAAAAAAAAGTAATAGGATGCACGGTGTTAACTATTATGTAAAATGTGCGGTGTTAAATTGTAGGAGACCCAAAATTCATTTTAGGTAGATTATATTTAGGTAAAGTGGATTAATTGTCTGTTTTCAAAAGTTTGTCCAAAATCTCAGAGCCTACCCTTTGATTGTGCAAAAAAATCGATTGTTTAAAAAATGTGTATTTCGGTTGGAAAGCTGTTATCTTGTTTTCTATTTTTGAAAATATTTTTTCTTTATTTATAAAAATTTAGTTTCCTTTATTCGATTTTACTTTTTAAATTTTGCTGCCCTATGATCTTCCCAAAATTACTTCTCATCCCCTCATGTACTCCCGCAGACACTCGACATGAAAGTCGAAACTTTTTCTTCGAAACCTTCTAAAAGTTGCGTCTCTTACGCTTTTCCGACTCTAATTTTTCCGACACTAACGCTCCCAACATTCTTGCCCATTATCTTCTTCCCACCTTAATCCATGCAATCACATGCACATAGTCATTTTTCCCGATATACCTCTTTTAGGGGGGGGGGGGGCAGTTGGGTTCGTTATGAGAGGGTGGGTAGTGTGGGGAAGCTGCGTTTATCGTGTGTGGAAACTATGGGTTGAGAAATTGCTCAGATTGTGAGAGTGCAAAAAAAATTGTTTTTTTTTTTTAAATTGCAATAAATTCAGACAGATTATTAATTACTAAAAATCATTGTAATGAAGCTAAAATGGGTTACAATCCGCTAAGAAAATGGCTTATACTGGAAATAAATTCCATTCAAGTTCTAAAATGGAAACTCGAAACATTATAATGGATTTCTTTTTGACTATGTAAGCCATCATAATCGTTTTTTTTTTATAAAACTGTAGTGCGGGATTGTTATAGCCATAATAATATTATGGATCTACTTTTGTAATAAAAAGTTCCATTTCCATCTTCATCCCTTTGTTATGTCACAGAATCTTTCACGTTCTTTTCACAAATTAAAATAGATCACAATTAAAGGTTTAAGCTGAAAAAATTGAAATTAGAATAGCATAGAAAAGATACAAGACTTTGTTTTAGATGATACAAAACTTGTGTGGCGTGAAATTTGAAAAAGGTTGAGTTTGTCACTTGCACTTTGATTAAATAAGGATATAGACATAAAACATTAAAATCAGGTTTTTGAAATTACAAAATTGGCAAGGTTGAAATGGCTAGGGTTGTATACAAAAAACCTACTGCATCCTTTAGCTAGCGATTAGAAACTTTTTTGTTGTTTTTATAGTTCCGCCCATTGAAAATTGGGAGGAAATATGTATTCGGGTGTGTTTTAGTTTGGTTCTCTTTTTCTTTTTGTTTTCCACGCAAAATCAGATACCACAAATATTTATCGGATTGGTTCGAATGATATATCAAAATAAAGTTCTTTCAGTCGTGACTCGAACCACATTAACAATTTTTTTCTGGTGTCGAAAAACCGGTTCGATTTTTTTGATTTTTGTTCTAATTTCCAGCTAAAAACGTCTTTTAAGCTTAATTTAAGCTGGGAAAACATAGTTTTTTTTCGAGCAAATTATTTTATGGGGTTTTAAGTGCCATTTTGAGAATCAAAGTTTTCAAACGTTTGAAAAAAATCTGCAAAAAATATAAAACAAATTTGTGAAAATTTTTGTTTTTTATTTACTATTTTTTTGTTTTTTTTTCTACAAAAACTGTTTTCTAATTGACCTATTCAACTATGACTGTCGAATATGCCTAATTTTTATTTTTTTTTTGTTAAATACTAATATGAAAAAATGTGGTATTTTGTTAAGACTTTTGTCGCAGTATTCTGTGCTATTGCACAGTAACATGCTATCCTTGTTACTATTTCAAAAAGGATGGATCATACAAAACATAATAGATTCTACTGGTTTTAAATTTTTCACTATGTTTATAGATTTAACTAACCTTTAATGTTAGAAGATACAACTAGTCTTTAAAATGTTAGAAGATACAACTAGCTGGCTACTGAGTTAAGTTTTTGACATAACGAGCTAATTTTTGAGCCTAAAAATAACCAATTTCCAATAAAGAGTTAGAAGTTTTGAAGAAACGTTATTGTTAACGTTTGAAGTTTTAGTGTTTGTTGTCCCGACTTTTGTAACGAACATAACGGAATATTTGTGCACTGGTGGTTTCTTTTCAGACAATTTTCGACTTTTTAACTAGCCTTTTAACAGAGTTTTTTTTGTTATTTAAAAGTTGTTGTTGATTGTCTTTAGCTCAAACTGGAAAGTTTGTAGAATTATGGGGGTTTAAAAATTGCCATTTTGGCCAATTTGGGACAATTAACGCGCAGTATATTTCGCGCTACTAACGCATAAGCGAGATTTATTATGCCTTAGAAATAGTTCCAAATATGTTCAAGGAAGATTATATGCCTTAATTGATTTGTTAATAGGACCAAAATCTATCATTTTATGCTTAATATGGCGTTTGGGGGATGTTTTTACAAAAAATCTCAAATTCTTTTAGAAAAAAAATTTAATTTTTTTTATTACATTTAAATTTGCTACTGCTCCATGTTGTTACTGCTCCATAGACCTTAAAGGGCAGTCGGAACATTCAGGGCTTGGCTCCGATACGAGCAGTCTCGTTTGTCATTTGGATTCCAAATTTTATCCTTTTCTGAATTTTTGTTCCGACTTTCGAAACGAAAGTAACGGAATATGTGTACTCGGGGTGGGTTTTTTTTTCTTCAGACAAATTTCGACTTTTTAACTAAGGCATTGTTGTCCTGAGCCCTAATTTGAAAAAATATTTCACCTGTGATCATTTTTCGTAAAGTTATGGGGGTTTAAAGATTGCCATTTTGGCCAATTAGGGACAATTAACGCACGATATGTATGAACGCGTCACGGAGATTTAATCAGTCCTAGGAATCGTTTTAAATTGGTCGAAAGAAAATTTTTTGCCATAATTGATTTGATACAAGGAGCAAAATCTATCTTTTTGTTTTTTATATGGCGTGTAGGGGGATGATTTTCACAAAAAATCTCAAATTTAGTTGTTTTTGTTTTCATTTTCTTTTATTACATTTTTTTGTTATTAGTGCTCAATAGACCATGAAGAGTCAGAACAAAGGTAGTCGGAACATTCAGGGCTTCAGCAGTTTTATTTAATTGGGGAGAGTTTGTCTGAAAAACAGTTATACATTTTATCTTGTTTTCATTAAAACTACAAAAGTTGGCCGAATCAGATCATTTTCACCATTGATACCTATCATTTTCACAGCGATGATATATTTTTTCCTAGTTTTGAAGAACGTTTAAAAAACTGAATTTTTTGAAATCTTATTTTGATTAAGACCTGTTTGAGGACTGAAATCGGAAACTGTACTGAAGTTTTTAACTAAATGAACGTCTTCGTGAGCCCAAACCCATCATTTATTGATTTAGACTTGATATGTGGGTAGAATTCATAAGTCATTCCTACTCTGCTGACAAAAGCATAGGCGCAAAAAGTGCAAAAAGATCAACCTGCTAAGTTTGTTCACGGGACGAATTGTCTAAAATAAATAAGAGCTCGGTTGAAATGAATAGATTTTCAAATTATACAAGCTAGAATTTTTTTATATGATACCGCGGGAAGGCAGGGATCGTTTACGAAATGGTTATTGCCCTGAAGTCGGAGGGAACAAATTTTACCAGCGGGGTTGCAAAGTCCGAATTAAGGAAAGCAAGAACTCCCACATTTATGTTGAAAACCTCTAGTGTTGACCATTAAACTTTATTTGGTCTCCAAAAGTGATAGCTTAAATTAATTCCTCCAGCATTTATTTGGGCACCTGTTAGCTTAAATTTGCGTAAAATTGATTAAATTGAGGTAAAAATCACATTGAAACTATATCGTTAAATCGAAAAAGCTGTAAAAGCTGTACATTTGTAAAAGCTTCTATCTAAATGAGAAAATTCGGATTATTTTAGAAACCGATTCCTAAAATAAAACCGAGAAACATTTAAGCTATATAAAGAAAAAGTTTCGGAATAACCGGGTGCCTCTAGTAGCAAGGGTCACTTGAATCAAAATTAGTCTTTCATAAAACTCCCAAATACAGATGGTAATTCACTTAATTCATGTCTAAGAAATAAAAAAGAAATTTTAATATAAGTAGATCAATATTTATTTCTGTTTCAGATATGTGGCAGCATGTATCGTAGCCAGTGTCGAATCCGGTGACATGACTCATATCGGTAAAACCAATTAACCTATTTCCGAAAAAGATAGATTTTAGTTATATTTTTTTTTGTAGAAATTTTTGATGGTCCATGACAGTTTTGAATCCAGCAATTTGGAAAAAATGCAAACGGTTAGCTTCAAAATTTCAGTTTTATGCTACTTCCTCGAAAATGATCCAAAAAATTCCTTGATAAATTTTGTTCTATAGTGAATACGATCTGGACGTTTTTATGTGCATTCAACGCGGCCATCATGTTCAAAGCGTCTCTCAAATCAGATCTGCTTCCGAGTTTGTTCAACGAGTGGTTCTCGTTCTCCAAAGTTGATCACGCCAACATCATGCCAACATTATCTCGTTCTCACTCCACTATCAACAACGTGAACAACAATAACAACTTCAGCCACCAATCAAACCAGGGCCAAAGTGAAACCAAACCACAAAACTCTTCGCAAAAGTTAGTCAAAAGGTTTCACTTTTTATGTTTTCATGAAATTTTCATAAAATTTGTTGCCTTTGAAGGTGTTCTAAATGAATGAGCATGAGGGGACTAGGTATATAGGTAAAGGGTAGATTAAGGGTTAAGGGGCGGATTTTGTGGGAGGGGCCGGGGGTTGTTAGTCTGTTATTTGATATTATCTTACAACATCCACTTTTGGCCGACCAACTCTAAAATTGTCTTAAGGCGCCTTCGGCGCCAATACATACTAAATTTAGAGAGGAAGGACAAAATTTCCGAAAATGTGTCATAAAAGGCATTTTCGTTTTTTTTTCAATTTATTTTGCGCGGTGTCTTTATATTAGTGTTTTTATAGTGTTCTGGGAGCGCTCAGAAAAATAATTCAGTCGATCTAAGAAAATCGACAAAATTTTTGAAAACTTTTTTGAAAATCCTAGATCCGCATCTGGGTGAGTTGATGCGATTCGCCTATTTTTTGTAGGGGTTGTTTTGTATGTTTTTTTTTTCTTTTTCATTTTTTTGCCAAAATTTCTGGTTATTTTTATTTAATTAAGGGCCGTTAAATTATGCTAAATTGCTGCGAAAGATGTTTGTTTTATGAGCTGAAATATCGTTGCGTGGTCTGAAAATTTAAAAAATTCAGAAAACGACAAAATTTGGAACCCAAATGACAAACAAGACTGCTGAATTTTCCGACTGCCTTTTAAGGTCTATGGAGCACTAATAACATGAAATTATTAAATGTAATGAAAACGAAATGAAAACTTTTTTTAATTTGAAATTTTTTGTGAAAATCATACCTTCATACGCCATACAAAGTACAAGTTGAGAGATTTCGCTCCTAGTAACAAATCAATTCTGGCAAATAAGTATCTTTCAACCAATTTGTGACATTTTCTAAGACAGATTATATCTCCGCTTACGCGTTAATAGCGCGAAGTATATCGTGCGTTAATTGTCCCAAATTGGCCAAAATGGCAATCTTTAAACCCCCATAACTTTACAAAAAATAAACACAGGTAAATATTTTTTCAAATTTAAGCTAAGGTCAACAATACCTTTCGAATGATGAAAAAACTCTGTCAAAAATGGCTAGTTAGTTAGAAAAACAAAAACTACAAAAATAGGTTTTAAGATCAAACAAGACTTCTCGTATCAGGGCAAAGCCCTGAATGTTCCGACTGCCTTTTAAGGTTTATTGAGCAGCAGTAATAGCATAAAAAAATTGAATGAAATAAAATAAAATGAAATTTTTTTTCTAAAATTTGAAATTTTTTATGGAAATCATCCCCCCACACGCCATATAGAGTACAAAAAGAGAGATTTCGTTCCTTGTAACAAATCAATTATGGCAAATAAGCTTCGTTCAACCAATTTGGAACGATTTATAAGACGGATTAAATCTCCTCTTACGCGTTAATAGCGCGAATCATATCGCGCATTAATTGTCCCAAATTGTCACAGGTGAAATATCTTTTCAAATTTAAGCTCAGGACAACAATACTTTTTGAATGGTATAAAAAAATTCCGTCAAAAATGGCTAGTTAAAAAGTCGAAATTTGTCTGAAGAAAAAAAAACCCACCCCGAGCACAAATATTCCGTTACTTTCGTATCGAAAGTCGGAACAACTACACTGACACCTTACAAGTTTCTCAGAGGTACTCAAAATTGGGCTAAAAACCACTAAGCTATTGTAATTTCCGCCCTCTTCGCGAGGCTGGTCAGAATCTCGTTAAAGGCAACTGCTGTACAAACAGCATAAAAGTTTCCAAACACAGTCATGTTCGTTTGGAAACGAACGTTAAAACAGATTATCGAATAAAAAAAGGGTAATAAATTTTTCCCAATAAAATTTTGGCGAAAAATAACAACTATTAGCTGATAAAAAAACTCACTTTGTTATGAAATCGTCTGAAAATTGGTTCATTTTTTTCAGAAGAAATGAAAACTGCTACTCACACCTCTTTTTCTACTGTTCACTCGTCGCCAAATCTTGAACCATCTTTTATTGATACTAGAAAAATATATAATTTTTTGCAGCTCAAATCACGAGCAAAATCTTTTCCCAAATCTGACTGATATCTATTTGGAGCAGCTGGACTTGAGTCGGAAACAAATATATTATGTATTATGAGGCTTATAAGCGTCGGTAATTTCATCGAGAATCTTCTACACTAACAAGTTTTCTAAATTTCGGTACACTAATAACAACGAATGATTTGCCTTAATTCAGTTTGAAACAAAGTATTCCGCCCTTACGCGTGTTACCGGGACGCAAAATATTCAGCATTAGTTATACCAAACTGGCCGAATTAGCCTCCTGTTCTCAAACCCTCATATTCTTACAAAAATGATCGCAAGTGAAACAAGACTGCTCGTATCGAGGCGAGGCCTTGAATTTTCCGACTGCCCTCTAAGGTGTATGGAGCAGTAATAACATGGAAAACATAAAAATGTAATAAAAAAAATAAATTTGAGAATTTTTGTAAAAACATCCCCCAGACGCCATATTAAGCACAAAAGTGATAGATTTTGCTCCTATTAACAAATTAATTATGGCATATAAACTTCCTTGAACCAATTTGGAACTATTTCTAAGACGGATTAAATCTCGCTTACGCGTTCATAGCGCGAAATATATCGCGCGTTAACTGTCCCAAATTGGCCAAAATGGCAATCTTTAAACCCCCATAACTTCACGAAAAATAATCATTTTTTTCCAAATTTGAGCTCAGATATTTAATACCCTTCAGATTTTAAAAAGTCTGAACAAAAATCACATCGAGCATAAATAGTTAGATTTTTTCTTCAAAATCGAAAAAATATCATCTTGAGTCATCTAGAAATTTCAACCATTGATTTCCTCTTATCATTGGAACTATCATTGGTTTTCTCTTATGAAAAGAAGCTGCATTCTTCATAAAAGGAGAAACTCTTATAAATGTAGTATTTTTTTTAATAAAGAGAAGAAACTGGTCATTTTGTTTGATAGTCTGGAGAAAGAAATTTGTTTGTTCGCGCAAAGTAAAAGGGCAATGCATAATTACAATGCTTAAGTAGTTTTCCATACTTGAAAATGAGTTGTGATAGGTGAAAATAGCCAAATTTGTAGTATGGAGAATATGCTGGTCTTAGAAACTCATAGCATAGAGAAAATTGTAGTTGTTAACTTCCTTAGTTAGAAGAAACGCTATTCTTAGACTCTCTTTCAATTTTATGAGAGCGTGTCTGTGATTTGTAAGACCACTATCTTTATAACAAGGCTGTGTAAGACCGAAGAAAGTAATTTTGTAAGAAGTTGCAAGATTCTTATAAGAAAAACTCTAAACTAGCGACTTATGGTCAAACCCATCTCTGTGTTAAACGGGGGACTGGGGAGTAAATGGGGAGGGCGGGGTTAGTGGATGGGGTGAAAGTAGGGGCAGGTGTCGAATAAAAAATTGAACAATGGGGATGAACGAGTTTGTTCGGTTTGAAGTTTTGCTCAAAGTTACAAAATTTGGATTCAACAGTTCAATGCGAAGCAACAAAAAAATTAATTTTTATTTAACGTAGAGCATTACGAGGCCAAACTGTGCATTCTGTGCATTGTATGCGGATTCCAAAATGGGCCAAAATCAGATTTTTTGCGGAATCCACTTCACTGCTACTTTTCTTTGATCTTCTTTGCTGTTATGGATTCCACAAACAAATACTTAAATTACTGTTCCACTCAAAATCGCTCCACAAATCGAAGAATTTGCGGAATCCGCAGCCGTATTTGCGGAACTCAAAACAGTTTGTGGAGTCCACAAACCAAAAATAAGAAATGTGTGTAGTTAAATTGAGCTGTTGCGGAATCCGCAACTGTAAGCAGAATCCAAAAATGTTTGTGGAATCCGCAAATTGTAAGTGGAATCTGCATTTTGTTTGCGAATTCCGTTTACATATATGTATAGATGTAGCGTTTAAAATTATATGTTTTAATTACATGATTTGATTTCACGCATATGCATTTATTTGAAAGCCTTTTTGTAAGTTTTCTCCATAATGGACAAATAAATGAACTTGCAAGCAAAAAAAAGTTGTAAAAGTTTCTTTGAGTAAAAAAGTTGTTTTGTGTTGGAAAAACACAATATACTTTTAAAAGTAATTTTAGTCGCACCAAAAAATGCTAATTCTATTTTATTTTTGACGATACACCAATTTTCATGCCAAAACAATAAAAAAAACTTCTTTTAAAGTTGAATACACCCATTTAGTAAAAAAAGTATGAAATTGGTATGAGTAGAATTCTCTCGAAGACTTAGTTAATGGAATTGTTTGATTAGTTTTTTCGGTCTATAGAAATAATCCTAGTAAAGATTTGTGTTTGTTGAAAATAAAAGCGTCATGCGTATTTTTTAGGGTTGGTCGTAAAATGATGCAAAAAGTGAACATTCTTGCTCAGTTTTATTGTAAAAAATTGTATGCTGCGCTGAAAAATATTCACAGAATAGGGTCTGTATAGTTTTCTATTTAGCGATACTTTGGTTCTATTTAGCGATACTTTGGTTTAACCTAAAACAAAGGCCGACAAATTTTTCAAAACCCTCGAAAAAAAAACCACTCGTGCACCAGAATTTATTGGAGGCGTGTGAATGAACCACACCACTCGATTAATAATTTTTCTGGCTATAAACTTTTTTTTAAAAAAAGCTACGAAGCAAAGAGTAGCTGCATATAAAAACCTCAAGCTCAGCTTTCATCGAAAAAATTTCACCCTGATTAAAAATGCGTTAATCTGAGACAGCTATCAAAAATCTGATAGTTGTTTTTGGGCTATGCATTTTTTTATGGCCATTATTTTCATTAAAGCTAAAAGTGAGATTTTTGCATGCAGCTGGTTACGTTGTTTTTTTCACTACTTTTTCCCCAAGAAAACTATTATTCAATCTGTGTGTGTTTATCCGAATATTCAGTTAAGTGATATATCTTTATTTCTGGAAAAGCTTAGTGTTACTGGTTTTTGAGCGAC